GTTCAAGAATAGGGATCAAGAGCCTGGACCAAGAGCCTGGATCAAGAGCCTGATTCAAGAATCGGGATCAAGAGCCTGGACCAAGAGCCTGGATCAACAACCAGGATCAAGAGCCTGGTTCAAGAATCAGGTTCAAGACCCTCAGTGTTTCCCCTACCATTATATAAGCGGGGTGTCCCACCCATCAACAGAACTGAGCACCCCACCTACCAATCAGAACATGCCCCCCCCCCCCACACACACACACACACAACAGGCACTGACATAGCACTAAGCTAGCAGTGTGAAATACAGGCTCTCTAGCTAAAAAAAACTAAAGGCGACTCTTCCCTCATGCTGAACATCCCACCCCCCACCCCCGGGCAACAAAAATCATGAATGAGATGAGCACCCCGCCATGGCAAGTTAACTAGGGGAAACACTGAACCTGGATCAAGAGACTGGACCAAGAGCCTGGATCAAGAGCCTGGTTCAAGAATCTGGAACAAGACCCGGGATCAAGAGCCTGGAACAAGAGCCTGGTTCAAGAATCTGAATCAAGAGCCTAGTTCAAGAATCTGGATCAAGAGCCTGGTTCAAGAATCTGGATCAAGACCCTGGATCAAGAGCCTGGAACAAGAGCCTGGATCAAGAATCTGGATCAAGAGCCTGGTTCAAGAATCTGGATCAAGAGCCTGGTTCAAGAATCTGGTTCAAGAGCCTGGTTCAAGAATCTGGATCAAGAGCCAGGATCTGGACTTTGGGCTCTTCATTTGAGCAGAGACCAACATGAATTATGTTCTGGCATTTCTGCCGCTCCTCTCAGGGTGATGGGGTTGCTATGGTGTGTAACCATGGTTATGGTGTTTCCATGGCTTCAGGAAAGGAAATGGGGGGTGGGCAGAGCTGGTGATGAGACACAAACACATGGCGATTCTGGTTTGTCTCGTGTTATTTTTTCTTAAAGTTTTTGGTTAACAGAGAGAAGCTGTCCACAGGAGTTCAAAGACTCAGAGCTGGACCTGGATCAGGTCCTAGTGCAGATTTTAAAACACACAGCTGCATTGTTTCAAACAACCTGACAAACATGAGCCCCCCCCCCTCCCCCCCATGCATCACAGAAAGTTGGAGCAAAGCAGGTGTAAGCTGTGCATCCATCACAGGTAATAAATCTTAGTTTGGGGGGGGGGGGGGGTACACAGCGGCCCTGTCCAGGCGGTCTGCATGCATATTCAGATTTGTACACGTTTACACTGCAGTGTGTGTTTCCTGTCTGGAAACGTGACGTTCTGCCCATTCAGAGTCTGTCACTACGGAACGAATCCTCCACTGACGGGTCGGGCAGCACCATGTCGGGATCACTGAGCATGCTCAGTCCATCCAGGCTGAGCGGCTCGATGCGCAGCTCGTCCTCCAGCGGGAAGCCTCCCTCCGAGTCAAAACACTCGGGCACGGTGGAGAGGGCGTTGCTGATGTCCTTCGACAGATTGGGGTTGGAGTCATCTGAGACACAAACAACAGATGGTGGTGGGTGAAGGTTCCTCCAGAGCAGACAAACACTTCCTAACATCGCTGCACTCATCTTTAGTCATGACCTCTTTCCTCCTTTTTCTTTGACTCTATCAGACTTTCTCCTCAGTTTGAGCGTTGAGCTTGACATTAGTCCTGATCAGACCAACATACCAGCACCTAAAGGCGTTTTAAAGCCCGAGCCTGAGGCGATGCAGCTTCATCTTCCTCCTGTGGAAACTCACTCCTGCTTCTGAATAAAAAAAGCTGTGCTCTTTATAGATTAGAAAACAGCTAAACTTCGTTGTACTTCCAGAATGTGCTCTATAAATAAATCTGACTTGACTTGACTTGACCTAGACGTCTTCTAAATCCCATTGAAAACAGTTGTAACTCGTTTTCTCATCCTGATTTAGGAGTATACCCCGGAGTAATAAGGAGTAAGACCTGGAACTTTTCATCTGAAGTAAATCCAGTGAACAAGACAGTAAACAGTTTGTGTAACGGCCTGAAATACAGAGCACAGAAACTGAATCCAAAGACAAAGACACATTGATAGAGCTTTATTTCTCTACCTGCCTCGACACAAGATCAGAAACAACATTTGAACCCTTTTGTTAATGAAAACAAACGAAGTTCACTGAAATAATGTGAAACTGACAAAATATTAAAACAAATAACTAAATCAACGACTGAAAATGAGTTGATGCTTTTTAATTTTGGTTCAACATTATAAAAAAACCTAACTAATGAAACTTAATATGTTCGTGCACAACCTTTTGGGGCGATCACTGTAATCAAGAGGTTCTCAAAGTTTTTGGGTTCAGGGACCCCCTCATAAATAATTTTCTTTAATTTGTCTCTTTAATGCAATGGAAATATTTGTATAACATAAATACTCAAGACCTGTTCTTTAATAGTGTTCATACAATTTTTTTAAACTTTTAATCATGGGGTATTTTTTTTCCTTTCAAGACACTTAATTAACAACATTTTTAATTTCAACTTCCAAAAATTAGTTTTGAGAAAATTAACAGAATCAAAAATCACTTGAAAACTTTATCTATTCATATAATGAACATAATAAATGTACTGACACTTTAAATTATCACAGAAAACTCTTTACATAAAACTGAACAGAATCATAACAGCAGTAATCAGACCAAGAAACAGGTCTGGGGGGGGGGGGGGGGTCCTCTCCCAGAAAATTCTGAATAAAGTAGATGTGATTTCCTGCATTTTGGTATATTTTAACAGGTCGTTAAACATCTATGTGCTTGTAAAAAAAACATATATATTTTTTTGTTTTACTTTTTTTGCAGACCCCCAAGCACCGGCTCGCGGACCTCCAGGGGTCCAGGGATCCCAGTTTAAGAACCACTGCTGTAAACAAACCAGATGCAGAAGATCAAATCCAGTACAGAACCGAGCGTCCTCCATGTTCCTCTGCAGGTCCAGGTTCTGTGTTTTGTTTCATGTTTAGGTCTGTGAACACAGAGCTGAAGGGACTTGTTGTCAAAAAGCTCCAGTTTTGTCTCATCTCTTTCGAGGTTTTTCTCCCAGAAGCTTTGGGGCTTCTCAAGTTACATTTTGACAAATTCCAGTCTATGTTTCTTATGATTTGTTGTCCTCCTCTGCCATTTTCCATTAAGTCCACTTTGGCTCGAACAAGGGCCGATCTGATACTGATGAACCTGGACCTTAGGGTTAACCCCTGTTTTATGTGGAAGTTGTCCCGGTCTCTGTGGTTACCATCAGTTTTATCCATATCTTCAATCTGTGATCACTTGTCCTCTTGTGGACATGTCCAGGGGTTTGTCTTCAGCCCTGTGGACCATAAACTTCCGAATAATCTGTGCAGCTGCAGTCAGAGGAACATCCAGCAGCTTGGAGATGGTCTTATAGTCTTTACCTTTAACTTGCTGCTCATTTGTCTCTCTAAGCTTCTGAGACAACTCTGTCCTCAGCTTCCTGTGGTCCCTGTTCAGTGTGTTACACACCATGACACCAAACAGCCCTGTGACTACCTGTCACCCTTTAAACAGACAGACTGAGTAACTACAGACTGAAGACACCTGAGAGGCTGATTACAGGACAGACATTAGTTTAACACGTCCCTGTAGACAAATTAGTAGAGCGCATCCGATCTATTGATAATGTCAATATTTTAAGTTGATATAGGCATTTGGGGACATATTGGTATCATTGACAACTGTCCCATTACGCGCCAATATAAACATTGGGAACAAGCCGTGTCCTTATTTGCAAAAGGCATAATTGTACAATGTATCCAGCAGAGTGTACATGAAGACTACTTTCAAGTCATGGCCGTTCACTTAAGTTTTACTTTCAGCACAGCTGAAGCAGTGAGAAATACTTTGTAGAGTTTTTACTGAATAGAGCATTGTAAGTTTATTTTAACTGGTCTGTAAAATAAAATATCAACAAAAATAAATTCTCTTCAATTCTTTAACTTGCTTGTCATTAGCCATGTGCCTCTCAAGTTAGCAAGGTAAAGTTTAGATTACCTAGAATGGGTTATTTCTTTGTAAAACTTTATCCAGAACTAGAAAGTTCCTGGAGAAACTTTGACGGGGACTGCCAGGCTGCTGCCGATTTAAATGATTGGTTTGATAGTAAAAGGTGATTGGGTTCGCTCTCAGCTACCATTATACCAAATTTCAGCTGCATAGTTCTAAAAATGGCCGAGTTATGTAATTTTTTCTCTTTGAGCTAAGGCTAAGGCTCTCTTGGACTTTTGATTTTCAGTCAGAGACTGTTAGGGATCATTCTCAGCTACCAATTCGCCAAATTTCAGCTGAATAGCTCTAAAAATGCAGAGTTATGGTATTTCTTTCTTTTTTTTAGCTAAGGCAGCCATCTTGGTTTTTGATTGTCATTAGGAATGCATTACAACTCGCTCTTAGCTACAACCATACTTAATTTCAATTCAATATCTCAAAGAACGACCGAATTATAGTCAATTTTGTGTTTCCTGAGGTAGCTATGGCAGCCATCTTGAATCAAAATGGCTCCAAACGTTAAATCAGCTCTAGAGATAAGTCTGATGATTACTTTCTGCGAGTTTCAAACAAATCCAACAATGAGTTTCTGTTTTGTAACTCAATAACTCAAAGAATGACTGAGTTAGTCAATTTTATGTATGCTGAGGTAGCTATGGCAGCCATCTTGAATCAAAGTGGCAGGTTAATTTTCTAAAGCATTGCCTTGTGTCTAATTAGATACATTAGGCTAATTAGCTACCTAAGGACTATCAGACTAATTAACTACATTACGGTACCTGCATTGCCTTGTTTCGCAAGGCAATGCACTGCCTTGCATGATGAACCAAATTGGCTCTTGACAGTACTCAGTTGCTTTGAAAAGTTTTCTTCCATTCATTTCCTATGGGAAATTTGGCATCTTTGTTAGCAATATACGTCGCCATGGTAACTCCAATTGCCAATAAAAGTAATAGCACACATCTTGGAGCCGAGCCGGTCGTTTTTATACAACTTTTGTGGGGGTCCACGTTGCAGGTCGGGCTGCATTAACGGAGACGCAACAAAAATAAATAAAGAAACCCTGATTGGGTGTAGAATAATAGGTGGCTTCCATGCATTTGCATGGAGGCTCTCCTATGCATTGCAATGGCAGCCCCCAATAAATCTAACATAGCAGTAAAATAGATCAGTGTTAGTAACATTATCCAAAAAAGTTCAATCTGGTCCTCTGGACATTGAATGTCCAGAGGACCAGATTGAACTTTTTTGGATTTTTCTACCTGGATTATTGAGCATGCATCAGGATATTAGTAACATTATCTTTGTTGTCCTCAATAAAATGCGTTGTTTGTCTGAAATTTTTATTTTTCTGCAAAGAAAGAAAATGTCCGCTGCTGCAGTCAATCAGACCTTCACCATACATGACTGACTGTTTAAAGAATGAACAGGAAGGGCGTTTGTTTAATTTATATTTTTGTAACACACTTGATAACTTTATGGTGAATAGTGGAGGACAGAAAAGTTAGGACTGTTTTAAGACTAAGGCGGTTATCGGCATTGACCTTCACCTTCCAATATCGGTATCAACGATACCCAAAAATTTCGTATGGGTAGGGCTCTACAAATTCATTCAAATCTTTTCTAGGAGTACCATTCTTTTTGTCAGGATCAGTTTCATTAGTTTTTTTTTAAATGATTTTGTTGAACCAAAATTCAAAAGCAATGACTGATTTTCATGATTTTTTGTTGAATTTATTGCCAAAGTAGAAAACTGAAGTGGATTTAGAAACAAACGCACTCCTTCACATCAATCTTTTCTCAAGTAAAACTGGTCTGCAATAGAGAGCAGAAAATGCCCTGGGCCACAAGACTCACCTGTGAGGATGATGTTGGGCAGCCCCCCACTGCAGTTTGAGTACAGCATGTTGGACCTCATGTGCATCAGGTCCTGCAGGCTGCCATGGCTGCCGCCCAGCCCCGACAGAACCGCCTGGGAGTGGTAGAGTGAGGAGGAAGAGGCGGAGGATGAAGGATCGTAGCAGGACCCCCCTGCTGAGGAGCTCATTGCATTTTCCAACAGACTGAATTGGTCCAACTGGGTCGCAGATGGAGAGGAGTCCAATGGGAGAGAAAACACAAAGTGAGTTAAAATGACGCCTCTGTCATCATGGAGGTCCAACTTGGAGATGAATTTTACAATATTTTACTCAGAACAATGCAGGGGCTAACAAAAGCTAATAAAAACTAAACATGCAGCTTTAGACTTATAGTAGTCTCTCATTTATCACGGGCGATCCGTACCCTGAAGACCCGCAATAAGTGAAAAAAACGCTAAGTAGGAATAGTAGTACAAGTAGTAAGTAGTAGTTTATTTTAGTATTTATATGTATACATATACATATTAAGGCATTTTAAACCCTTCCCACACTCTTGCAATATTCTA